GCAACCCACCATCCAATAACTACTCCAGGATGCATTCCCTTAGGCCCAAAGATGGTGAAGTGTCATGTAGTCGACGTTCACATGACACCACTAAGAGAATCAACAACATACATATCATCAAAATATCGAACGAATACCAAATTCACATGATTACTTATGACAAGACTTCTCCCATGTCCTTAAGAACAAAAGTAACTACTCACGAATCATATTCATGTTCAAGATCAAAGGGGTATTGAATAGCATAATGGATTTGAACATATAATCTTCCACCAAATAAACCAACTAGCATCAACTACAAGACGTAATCAACACTACTAGCAACCCACATGTACCAATCTGAGGTTTTAATACAAAGATTGGATACGAGAGATGAACTATGGTTTCAGATGAGATGGTGCTGGTGAAGATGTTGATGAAGATTGGTCCTCCCATGATGAGAGGGTTATTGGTGATGATGATGACTTCGATTTCCCCCTCCCGAAAGGAAGTATCCCCGGCGGAAATCCTCCGCCGGAGAGCAAAAGTGCTCCTGCCCAAGTTCTGCCTCGAGATGGTGGTGCTCTGTCCCGGAAGTACTCTCCTTATTTTTTCTAGGGAAATGGGCTTAAATACCAAAATATGGGCACCGGAGGCTGGCTAGGGGCCCCACAAGGCACCAGGGTGCGCCAAGAGGGGTGGGCGCCCCCTGGTGCCTCGTGGGCACCTGGGTGGCCCCTATGGTATTTCTTTTCTCCAATATGTTTTATTTATTCCAAAATAAATCTCCGTGAAATTTCAGCTCATTTGAAGATGTGCATAATAGGTATCTCTGACATAGCTTTTTCAGGCCCCGAATTCCAGCTGTCGACAATCTCCCTATTAGTGTAAATCTTGCAAAATAAGAGAGAGAAGACATTAGAATGGTACTGCAAGCTATTATATTGGCCAAAAACATTATAAATAATAGAGGAAATCATGATGCAAAATGGACGTATCAAAGAGCATCTATAATCGAACTTGGCAAATCCACCCCCCTAAACGTCCGCAGAGCAATTGGGCGCGACCCTAGACAACGTCCGAAGGACCCTCATATCTCATGTCGGATATCCACACTCCTTATCTAAACCCTCAAATCCATGCATACATGAATATCACAACATCATTGAGTAGTTCCACAATCCAAACATAAAATATATAGTTCAAAATTAAACTTCTTGAGTTTCTTTGTGGTCCACATATGCTCCACGAGATCATTAAGTAGTTGCACGTGCACCTGTTCATCTTAAATCTAATGGATCTTTAGAAAATTAATAATCTGATCTGCATCTTATTCCATGTGTGGACTTATTCTCCGAGCTTCTCAAAATCATGGGTTCGGGCTACCCCTTCACCCTCATCCTCGGCAATCATTTTGTGGCCACATGAAACAACGTGTCATCAGCTGTCATAAAGTCTTTGATTCCCACATCATTGCAGCTCCATGAACAATTCCCCAACGAGTTTGGAACACTCTAAATGCCCTCTCCACATCCTTCCTAACTACTTCTTGCATTGTTGCAAAGTGGCTTTGTTTGTTGCTATGGGGATTAGATATGGTCTTCTCAAGTTAAGGATGTTTGCCAACCTTGGGTACGACAATTTGACAAGTTCTTTAAGCCCACAAAGAGAGAATATATCAAAAAGCAATTCAAAAATAAGTGGGATGTGCCGAAGAAAGAATACATTATTTGGAAGACATTTAATCAAAAGGCATCACACATTGGGTTAGACCCTGTTACCAAGACCATTGCGGCTAGCAATGAATGGTGGGCAAGGTGAGATACATGTATACATATCTTCATATTAATTTTATTCGTTACTTTTTCTTTCTACAATTTGTTGCACTAATTGTGATATACTTTTTCCAGCAATAGGAAAGGTTCGACAACTTAGAATGTCATGGCAATTTGCGATTTTGATATGAGATTTACGTTTGTTGTTGCTGGATGGCCTAGATCTATTTGTGACACACGTGTATAGAATGATGCACAAGTTGAATATTCCTACTTCCCACACCCTTCAGACGATATTAACTTGTACATGCATTCTTGTACTCTAATGTTTTTGCGTTGACCAATTGATCTTGGTTTTATTTATTATCAATGTAGGTAAATACTATCTCGTTGACTTTGGATATCCAAATAGAGTTGGATATTTGGCACCATACAAATGATAGCGCAACCATGTAACTGATTTCCAACAAGTACCACCATGGAGGAGAAATGAGACCTTCAATCATCGACATTCATTACTATGAAACATCATTGGACGATATTTCGATGTATGAAGATGAAATGATGAATCCTCCTCCATATCACACGGTACAAACCTGATATGCAAACAAAGACAATTATTGCATGCGTGTCTTCATAGCTACATTCACGAGAGCAAACTAAGTGATGAACCTTTTTTTTAAATTAAGTGTCGAACATTTTGACATGGTTGAGAATGGATCTTATACTTGCACGGGAGCCTTTCTCGTCACTTTGCACCCAACGATGATGGTAATATGGGCAGCATCTGTAATGTTATTGCTGCGAGTGTCAACCCTTGATGGTTAGCTCTAGGGTGTATACTTTTGTTGGGAGAGCCATGTAATAATATGAAGATCTTCCCTATTCGTGTCTTCTTCTCAAGTACTCGTATGTGAGACAATGATCTTCCTTTTGTTTGATTATAAAATACTGCGGGGTTTGGGAATCAAATCTATGTCATATGGGCAGAAAAAACAATAAAAACTAACTCAATAAGGTTTTATTAGAACAACAATACAACCCAAAGGCATCACAGGCTTTTCACTACCTAGAACACAGATAAGCTAAAAAATAGGCATTGAGAAAAAAGAACCGACTCGCTTATTTTGGCAGGCCTTTATATGGGGAAATGCTAAAAAAGAGTTGGCCCTTTAGACCCTAAGTATCCAATTAGAGCAAGAACAAAAATGCTCAGGCTCATAAGCTGCCGAGTTCGACTTGGAAAAAGAGAGATGAACATGAGAATTTGGATTTCAAAACTTATAACATAGTATGTTGTATATATAACGACTTCCCAACCGTTTACTAAAAAAATTGCTTGACTCCAGTGAGGGAGGAGCAATGACGACGACGCGCCTTTGGTTCGCTTCAATGCTCATAGTAGTTGCTAGGTGATCTATAGGTCTGAATGTATTTATTATTAGTTTTTTATGTTCGTTGTACTGCCATGATTAATGATTAATAGATTGAAAGTTTTTAAAAAAACTTGTTTGTAACTAACCATTTATTTATAAGAGTAAATGGGTGCATCACAAATTCAGGTAGACCCCAACTAAGAGCATGGTTAATAATATAGCCGGCCGGTGGCTGTAACATGTTGCCATGTCATCTATAGCCAATATAATAGTCAACATGTATAATAGTGGGCTACAAGAAACTACTACCTTTTTTACCACGTGGCCCATCATACATTCTTACATAGCTTCTTGGAGCCCGTGCTGCAGCCGGCTGTAAATTTACAACCCGTTTTTCTTCTCTCTCCTATTCTCTCTCATCCAACTCAGCAAAGATATAATATTTTAAGTCTTACAGCCCGCCTATGTCATCTTATTATACTTACTCTAAAAAGGCCACGTAAACTAGATAAGTATTTTAACACAGCACAAAAACATACACTCATATATACGCACATACAGTCACCCTTATGAACACACACACGCACACCTTACCTCTATGAGCACATTCGAGAGACGAAGTCGGCACATCATCTTGAGATTGACAAAGTTGCCATAGACTCCTTTGTAGTTGACGGAGCATCTTCTTCCACTGAATACACATCGCCGGATGGCGTGAAATAAATCCAGAAAAATGCAAGTATCAATGTAAGTCTAGGACTTATAACTGTAAATGTAATGAATCGAAAATATTACTGTTCTGTTAACCATCCGACCAATTGAATTGCGACTAGATAAGTTCTCATAACACTACTTTGGCAGTAGCAATGACGTGCTAATCTTTTTTCTGGTAGAGACGGACGCGATAAATTTCTTGCGTGTAAACTAAAAAAAGAAAAAAAGAAAAAGAAAAGAAGGCAAGGAAAACCAGATAGGAATTCAACCGTCATCCGGGAAAGGGAAGGGGGCGGAGGGGGCGGAGGGGGGCACAGTTTGCATAGGGTTTCTCTCCTTCTCCAAGACGAACAAGCACACCACACAAACCCACACACCCCCTACGGAATTCACAAGCCCACAAAAATTCCGAGAAAGATAAATCCTCTCGAAAAATCGGCGCCCCGAATCCCTTCCCAAGAGCTTCCCGAATCCTGCGAATCCCCGCAAGATTTCCCAATCCGCCGCCGCCGCCGCCGCCTTCCGCAGATTTCACGGCGAGACCCATCGAGGACGCCGTACGCAGAGTGGTCGCTCGCCCGCCGAGGCGAGCCCGAGCAGCCTGCTTCCTGCTTGATCAATCTTCTCTCTTCCCACCGAGTCCTGACCTACAAACCGTGCCCTAGAGCCGCCGCTGCCGCCGCCGCGCCGTACCCTAGCGTCACGGCCGACGCCTCAATCCCCACGCCCGCCTCTCACGCGCGTGGCCGCCATCGCCGTTCCCGTTCTTCCTCGTCGGGACATCGCGTTCCTGCTGTCTCCACCCTGTCCGCAGTCTTTAGCCATTGGGGTTTGAGGTATGAGCTTGTTTTCATCCAGCGACTAGTTAAATCCCACTGACCTTCACAACATCTGGGTGTGCCGCTGCACACCCGGCACACTGTCTAGATCCGCCCCTGGGGCCTAGGCTTTGGTGGTCTCGGCTTCGCCAGAGTGGAGACTGGGCGTGGAACTGCAGATGTGCTGTTGAATCGTGTGTAGGCACCACCCTGAGTGACTGACTAGGACTAGGAGTGAAAGGTAGTTGTGGTGGTAGTAGTAGTGGCGGTGGTTTCATTGCTGTGCCGGACCGGACGTTGCTGCTGGGGCGCGTAGATGGTGAACGGCGCCTGCTGGCATGGACCGAGGTGAGCCCTCATTGAAACCAGAATGGCTGGTGCGCGGGGTTGCCACACCGACAGTAGCTGCCACAGGCTTCCGGCCAGGAATTTCGCCCCGTGCAGGTGAGCTGCCTTTCCTTCAATTTACCATTTTGATGCATATAACGGCTAGGGGTTAGTGCTGCTTATAGAAAGTTTTGCAAGATTAATTGTTATTATAGTAGTTGAATCGCATATGTAGTGGCATCAGATAATTTTACACGAGCCGTTATTAGTTCTTAGACTTTTTTATGCTGGGTAGTGTTTTTTTCATTTATGCATGGTGAAGTTAGTGCACTTCTTCTGGTGTTATTTTAGAACAATGATCATTCTTCAACCTTCCTACCACCAGTATTGGCATGAGTCTGATTCAAGGACAATGCTTGTACTGTGAAGCGCTTTATTTAATATGTTTGTTGCATGAAACATGAAGCAAGTGTAATATGTCACATAAATGCGTAATTTTGGACTTGTGGTAATCATGGAGCAATCTGTCTTCGGAGACATTGCTTACATCAGCACATCAGCCTCGTGCTGTTGCATGGTAAACTGATGGTTATCGGTGTGTGTAATTCGTAACTGCGGTAAGTGTTATTAAATTAAATATTATTTTACTTGGAAATGATTTAATGGTAGTTATTGGGCTATTGCACTGGAGTCAGTCCAGACTTCAGAGACTTTCTTGGACGGGAATGTTTACTTGTTCATGTTGGTTAGCCATGTTGCCATAATGCATCAGCAGTCCGTGTAATGCCAAATGTACTAGGGAGTGCGTGAGGATTAGGCAGAATCACCTCTTAAGAATGGGGGCTGCTACCCGTCGGTCGGCGGGCCTTTTAAAAAGATCCGCCGCCTTGCAAGCCGTCGAATCTGACGCAATCTAATGATTGGACGTATTTCTCTACTTCGCAACAGAGATCTTGTTGCAGAAACATTTGCAACGTCGGTTGTGTTGTGGATTTTTTTGCAACACAGGTCTTGCTGCAGATTTTTTTTGCAACAGACGTCTCGTTGCAGAATTTTTTTTTGCAGCATAAGTGATGTTGCAGAATTTCTGTTTGCAGTATTCACTTTTTTGCAACACAGGTATTTTTGCGGAAAGAAATTTTGAAACACATGTGATGTTTCAGAAAAACTTACTGAGGACGCTGCAATCCAAATTCCTACCTGCATTGCCCAACATAAAAGACGTGATCAGCGTCATCGCACGGCACGGCGCGTGGTGGACGCATACGTAAAATCAGCCGGCTGTTCGGAAGCTTTTTCGCTTAAGAATTGCTTGGAGAGAGGCATGATGTGTAGTTGATATATCATGACTATTTCTCATGCCTTGCAGCTTTGTTGATCTTAAATGCTTGACTTTCTTGCCTGCATATATGGAAATAGATAGTAGAATGTATGCCCTTCTCCATACACAAATATATACATAGTTGATACCTCTGGTTTAAGTAGCTTAAGGGGTAGGCAAAACATTTTTAGCAATAGACTATTATCTTTCCTTGGTGCAGTGGAACATGCATGTTCACTGAACTTGCTAATTGCTATGGTATTGTTTATTATAGTGTACTAGCAGAAGTAGAGCTATATTAGGCTAGAAGCAAAATGTGGTCTGGTATTTTGTACTATAACTTGTTTTGATTAGCAGACTAGCATAACTAAACCAAGCAAATGGTTAATGAATTAAATTATAGTATGTAAAAGTAAACGCATAAATAACTATAAACTTATTCTTCACTTCACCATGTCTCTGCAATCTCACTGCCTGCAATCACACAATGCTGAAATGAAAAGTTCATGACCAAGAGGTCCAAGGCACCATTTCATATTACTTGCTTTGGCCTGGAGACAAGTCTCGGGTTGTATATTGGGGTTTGCCCAGTGGAGAGGCACTGGGAGTTAACTGTGTGCACTGGATTGGCCTGCTGCAAGGAGCCCAGGACGCTAGGTCCCAAGCTTCATCCGTGCAAGATCAGTTTTTAGCTGTCCATTGGTGTGGCAAATGTAATTATTGATTCAAGGCACAGAAGCGTGCTCTTGTAGTCACAAATAGCTATTTTAAAATTATTTTCTTTTGTTGATATGTCTAGTAAACTCATTTGTTGCTTGTGTCACATGTGTAGTACCTGGGGACCGTTATGTGACATACCAATCATACTGTATAGTGTATTACATCAACGATGCAGCCTTTTGTTCTGTGATATATTGCATTAATGCGTATGAATTTTATTGTTCTTGCACTTTGCATGTAGTAAGGGTTGATGTCCATTGTTCCTTCAACAATTATTGTCATGTCTTTCTGGTTGCTTTGGTTTAACTCTGCATGGTTTAGCTAATCATATATGAACCTCGTTTAAATGACTGTTCTTCTAAGCTTACACACGTGATGTATATTTGCTAATGAGCTGTTACTTGAATGCTTTTAGATGATCAAGACAGGGGTGCTTCATCAAGAAACCGATCTTCAGGCCGTGATCGTGAACGGAACTCCCAACAGTCCTCTTCACGCAGGGGTTCTGGCCAAAGTGTGTCCAGACGGCATGACCGGGATGGAACAGTGAAGTCAAGAGGGTATGCTAGTTTTGGAAGGAGCAACAGGGACAGGGGTTGTGACAAGGATTCTGATTTCCGTGATTGGGAGAGTAGATTGGGTCTTGCAGGTGACCCACTGCGTGATGGCTTTGGGCCCTTTAACTCATGCAGACCCGAAAGCGATAGGCTTAATCGTATTCGTCCAAAGTTGGACACATTGAATCGAGCATCTGGAGTAAGTTTGGACAATGGTAATCTGTCTAGAAAGGATGCTGGCGGCATGTCCTTTGAGCGAGAATTCCCACACCTTAGTTCTGAGGACAACAATGGAAAACATGATGTAGTTAGAGTTCCATCTCCTGGAATTGGCTCCCCAATTCAGAGCATACCATTGGTTACTGCGCCTGATGGCTGGAACTCAGTGCTAGCAGAAGTCCCTGGACTTAGTGAGCCAAGCAATACCCAGACCTCTTCTGCTTCATCACGTGCTGGTTCCAGTCAGCAGCTTGTAGTGTCGAACTGTGGGACTGCCTTAAGCATGGCTGAAACAGTAATGCAGACTCCATTAAAAATTTCCACCACACCTCAGGTAATGTAATATGTATTGAATATGATATCTTGTGTTCTTTACTCCTTTTGGTCTATGATCATACTCATTTTGTACCATTCACTTAATCTAATTAATGTTTTGTGTGCAATATCATTTTTTTTACCCAGCTATCAATTGATGCTCAGAAGATTGAAGAAAGAACTATGAGGCAGTGTATTCTAAGACCTCTGACGCCTTCATCAAACAAAAATTCTGTATGCACTCTGTACATTGCCTTCGCTGTGAGATCAAATGTTTTGTTTTGTTGTTTGTTTCTTGTGTTATTACCATGGTTGTATTTAGATCGTGCAATTTCTTGGATACACTGTCTGGTTTGTAATTTTGCTTTTGAAAGACAGATCATCACAAACATAATTTCAACTTTCTTTGTCTTGCATGATCAAGTAGTATCGGACTGTTATTCATGGATCAACAATTCAATTTTGTTTCTATGTCAGGAATCTGCTTCATCAATGTCCCTTACAATTGTCTGGTCCTAAATTACGCATGTCATTAGTGATCATATTCATAATATTTACAAGATATGGTCGTAAGCTGGTTCAGTCGCTTCATGTTCTTTGCAAACTGCAAGTATCCATGAAGCGGATGTGGCAGTTACCTGAGTGTCTTCATAGCATAATAATTTATATAAATGCAATGCATGATGTGGTGTAAGTATGGATACATATTAGTTGATAGTTTGAACGTACGCGCTGGAGATTAGGAGATATGTTTTTCTGTTGTAAAAATCTATCATCCTTTATATTTTTCTGCACCCGTTATTTAAATACGCAGTTTGGTTCTGAACTAATTTACAAGGAATAGTGATTCAAAAGTCAGAAACTTCTATTCTTGTAGCATTGAGTTATGAATCGTATTGATCATTAGAACAGTTGAAATACTCATTACATAGAAGCTGTTTGTTCTGATGTAAGACTTAACTGGTAGTGTGAGTTTTGTAGTTTCTCTTACTTGTTTGGCTCATGAACACCTGAAAGAAATTATTAGGATTACTGTGCATGTAGATTATGTATTTATGTTCCCCCCAAAGAACACGTAGGTTATGTTCCCCGCAAAGAACTTAGATTAAGAGAACTCTATTATTAGAATTTTAGTGGGACATTTTTTTTTGTGTTTGACCTTCCATGTTATATGAGTTTGTCAATATTACTGCTTATGATCCATATTTTATTTTATTTTATTTCATAGTAGTATATGCCAACTACTAAACATTTTCTTGATACTATAACATCAACAAATATTCCACCACACAGCAAAACTGACAGAAACTTCCCTTTTGTATATTACTTGATCAGCATTTGATCATTAAGCATGCAATTGATATAATACACCGTAGTTTGTTCAGGCATGTCTACATTTTGGGGAAGGTTGCATAAAGTGAATCCTCGATATGTGCTTCTGGCTGGTTTTCTGTTTCACTTATTTATGGAGTGTTTTTTTTTTGTGTGTTGATATGGAGTGGTGTTGCCTTGTATTGAAAAAAATACACTTTGGTTTGCCCTTATTCCTTAATGCTTTGCAGGTATGTACTTTGTCAGATAGGTTAAAAACGAAAGGTGCAAGAGCTGGGGATTCTAATGGTTCTACCAAAACTGCACCCCAACTGTCAGCACAGTCTTCCAATAACTCTGTTCGTACTCCAGTCAAATCTGAGGTTGCCAAGCCATCTCAACCAGGATCCTTCCAAGTCCTGACCCGTGAGCAGAATGGTGCTGCAAATACCTCAAAAGACTCCACTAGCAATCCTTTAAGCCCTATTCTAGGTCGATCTTCTTCAGTGGAACCACTGAAAAAGCCCCTTGTCAACCAAAAGCTTAAAGGTGTCATAAATGGCCTCCCTTTGCAATTACAACAAGGTCCATCTGGTGAGAGAAAATCAATAACAAAAGCCAAGCATAAATTCTTTGAGTTGCTGCGAAGCAAGTCTTTAAATGGTTCAAGCATGGGTATTGAATCCTCATCTAGCTTGATTAATGAACAGAAGAACCCATGTCTTGATTTATCCTTGTTTGACGCTGGAATCAAGTGTATTGAGACTGGAAGTAGTTCTTGTGAGGATGCAAATTCTTGTGATGGGTCTCAGCGACACCTCTCTGACAATGAGGAAACAAAGGCATCTTTGGAACCTCTTGATGTTTTTTATCGTGAGTCCCATGGGGTTGCAGCTGTCAAGGATAGCAACTCTTTATCAGATCATGCTGATGCCGAAAATGGATCTATGGCGCCTCAGGCAGACAAGGCTGAAGCTACTCTGGCCATTATGGCAGCAGATATAAATGATGGTTCTGCAAAGGCAGACTCCAGCTATGGTGATGCCGGTTTGTTGTTTGTGCCCATTGTAACTGGGGAAGAGGAATCATATCCTACTGAAGATGAACCCAGTCCAGAAGAAATGGCTTTCCTGAAATCTCTTGGCTGGAAAGAAGACGAAGTAGTTCCGCCTCTGAAACAGGAAGAGATAGCTGATTGTGTAAGTTTTGTTATGTTTCTTATTCTAGTTCATCAACATTATTTGGCTTTCAGTACACACTCATGTGCTTAAGGTTTTTCCTTCTAATTAGTTTGCTAAGTAGCCGATAGGTACTCATAAGTTTCGGTTCATCTTCAGTTTCGCCAAAGCAGTTCCCAAAACTTCCAGTTCATCTTTAGTTATTGTATAACCTCAATGTGCACCATATCAGCAAAATGAATTGATGATGTTGTTTACCATGAAAATATTGGTTGCCATCATCATTGTACTTCTGATGAGGCATACTAAATGATTTACGGGGCTTAGAAAAAGAGACTATTGTCTACGAATTGGGACCCAGCCGATGTTTCTGAGAGCATATCGGTATCATTTACGTGGCAGTGTGCATCATTTAAGTATTCTGGTAATCCACATTAGGAATTGACCACTTGTTAAATTTTACCATGTGCATTGTTGTGACATAGATTCCCACTGTTTTGTAGTTAAGGCACAACGTGAGGCTGCAGCAGAAGCTTGAGGAGTGCAGGGGCTAATGACAGGGCTCATCAACCAAAGTTTGTCACGGCGCTGAGAACTTGTGAGAATCAAGCTGTATTTTGTGACGCCATGGGGCGATCGTGTCTAGCTTAACAAATCATGATGTTTTAGTTAACTTCAGCTCTGTGGGAGTTGTCATGCTTAGACCGATGTTTTTCCCTGCTGAAAAGAGGGTTGAGGTTTTTCTTCATTTTCCCAGAAGGAATACCGAATGATAAAAGCATGTATGGTGTTGGAGGCACATAGAGGTGCTCAGAAAGAATATAGGTTGTCTTCTTTTTTATACTTCTCATGGCTTATCCTTGTTTCAGAAAGAAAGGAAAAGAATAGGTTGTCTTCTTTTTTATACTTCTCATGACTCGCCTTTGATTACCGTGGTCTGAGATTTGCATGATCTATTTTCATTTTATGTTCTTATTCCTCTTTGTGTTTTTCTATTGATTCATGGTGCTTCAATTGCTCACCCCTTTAGGTTTTTTCTTTTTCTTTTGAGGAATGCCGTCAGTCCACAATAATACTACGAATGAAAGAGAGGGTTCAACATGGCCATGAGCAACCCTAGCCATGCCGGCTAGTTAATGAGCCACGTGATTCATCTCTTGTGCACAATCCTAAAAAATAACCTACACAAAATAATTTAAATAGGCCATAGTCATGCGATCCAACTAATCGCATAAGCCAGCCCACCACAAGATGAATGAGTG